CTGTGCAAGGTCCACCACTTCCGCCACTGCCTTGGATTACCATCTTATACTTTCGAGACATGCTTCGGTTGAGAATACAAATATTTGTCAGCACGGCGCTGGCCCACACGACTTGATAACCAGCCTTCAGACCTGGCCGCAGTGGTGCACGCCGCCGTGCCTGCGCCAAAAACCCGCAGCCACTTAAAGCCGGCCAAGTGACAGCCAGCATGAGCTTTGCCAAGGATGACAGAACGATCAGCAAGCTCAGCATGGCAAGTCTCAACCAAGTTAAGAACACCGGAAACAACCACCACCAGCACTCTCCATCGCTGTTTTGCCAACATATGTCGACCGCCTAGACCTGCATCTTCGAGCACGCTCTCGCGGAACCCGGCTTGCCACAGATCCCGAATAGAAAATGCTGCAGCATACAAGTCGTCAAGACTGACGCCAAGGTCCTTTAAATCCTTTGCTGAATAATAGCCTTGCAACAACAAGTTCAACCGAATGAGATTTCGCCGCCAACGGCAATGGACCAGCACCAACCAGCGACAGAACGAATCGTACACGAAGCGCACGACAAATGAAACGAGCACCAGAGGAGCTTTGAGGATTGTGAGCACAAGTGACAACATACCAAAGCTACACAAGCTTAGGACGCCAATCAACAACCACAAACAAGTTCCCAACATGTGATATCCTGGACTTCTTGGCCGCGACGTTGCATGTGGCGCGCTCGTGCAGTGGCCAAAAATGAAAAAATGTCTTCATAGTTTTGCTAGCAGGCCCCACCTCCGCCAATGCCCAGGTCATCATCAATACCGAAAACAGAATCGGCACGAACAGAAGAAGGACGATCACGAAGGACACAGTGAACCCTGCCATCACGTTGGTGGGCAGTGTTGCACTCGGCGTCTCGAGCCATACCGTGAGGCTGTTGAAACTTGCAACAAACCTGTGAACGATGTGCCAACCATCGCCACTGCTCGTAGCATTCTCGTCTCAGAGCTATGTTATGGTAGTCAAGAGCCCATGTCTTGCACACAGAACCCATCTTCCCCTCCTATCTACGGAATTCAGGCACAAGGCGCCACAGTGTTAAGCTTTAAGCAGCATAAGTCAGCATATATATATATAACTTATGCAACTTCATGGGTAATATCATAAATTATATCATATCCATAAAAGACTGCTAAACAAGACTTGCGATAGAACACACGGCAAGGCTCGGTGATGTCGCAAACTGTGTGTGCCGCCAGTTGGGCTGGCAAGCCCCCGCTCCTTGGCAACAAGGTTGCACTTTGGGATGCTAGTCACACGTGCACGACAAACTGTCCGGACCGCATGTAAGCCTGAGGCAAGCAGAAGCACATTGACGGTGACGATCCATGCCTGAGACACTCGTCTTTGGAGTCAGGCAAGTTCTCCGCACACTTGCAACAAATCGTGCCGCCGCCTTTCCCAACACACAGCGCGCCATGCAAAGAGCCGTGCTGCTGGAACCCGTGCTGCGGATGCTATTGAAGCAAGAAGCACCCCCAAATGTGTTGGGCCGGAGACTAGACCAACCACTCTGTTTCTTGCTTGGGTCACTGAGGCCTTGGAAACGGGGTGTTCAGAACCTTTGAAGCTAAGTTCTCGGATGTTGCGCGCAGGCTTAATACGGACAGGTTGAAGCTAATGAAGTCATGTACCACACTATTCGCAAAATCGCTAAGGTCCAAGAATAGCCTAATCCAGAGGCACGCAACAGCGCCTGCCAATTGCGCTGCAGGCTTATTGATCATTAGAGCCGATTCGTTATCGAAATGTATCCAATTGACATACAGCGGTGGTGAAGAGTCCAAGTGGCGAGTCTCAAACAGTCCAGGGTTTTTCTTGGAAGCGTGATTTCCGCCGTGATCGCCGACTCCGGATGGCAGAAGCCGATTATGTTCATGTGACAAGCTCATTAATCACCAAATGCGTCCCACTGTTCTCCGTCGACAACTTGTACTTGGAGCACATCGTGTCATGGAAACATGTACCATCGGAGACCGGAAACTTGTTTTCCACGGACTTTTGCGCCTGCAAGAAAGAGCCACTGCTACGTTGGTCTGACTGCTCCGTCGGCGTGCTGTCCCGGCTAAGGGCCGCAGAGCGCCGCAGAGGCAAGGGGTTGGGCCTTTCGTCGGCGGCGAAGTCGAGCACGCCGCTGGGCCACCGGGCCGTCGCTCGGCCCCGGGCAGTGGAGCAGCTGGCTACGCAAGGCTGTGCCGGCAACGGCGAGCTGGACGGCGACAGAGAGCCAAACCGGAAACTCGAACCACCATTGACTTATGCACAGCGTACATCTTGTGGAAACGCAAGCCTGGCGGATCTGCCTTTCGCCAAGCCCACTTTTCTTTTGAGGGTACAGCAGGCAGGGCACGAGATGGTAATTTTATCCTGGTTGCGGTGCCCGGTACAAAGACGGACAATGTGCAGGCCGCTGCGCTCTCCAGGCTCCTCCACTGTGGAGTGCTTCTGCCAGTTGCCAGTGCAGCTAATCGCTATATTGCCGCGGGCATCTCCGTTGACCGGCCCTTCTTCCAAAAACTTTTGGAACTAGCCACCACATACGTCGCGGCACAAGGGGCTTGCTCACAGCTTATTTTTTGGTCCTGCCATTTCAAGGAATCAATGGACTGATTTTTCTGACCTGACCGGCTTAGTCCAAACCTCGAGACCATGCTCGGTATTATACATTCGCAAAGCGCGGCAATGACTTTTTTCGAAAATCATGAAACGAAAATCATGAAAGGTCGCAGTGCTACGGTAGCAGCTGCGAGCTACGGAAGGGGCATGCGGCTCAAAGCTCAGGCGAGAAACCAGCTCACATCGGTTCGTGCTGACGGGCTCGCGGCCAGCTGGGAGGTCCAGGAGCGAAGCGGCGAGGGTGTGCTGAGCGGCGACTGCCAACATGCCGCTCCAACGCTGCACCTGGCGCCTGGAAGCCTTGGCGCAAGAAGGGGGATGAAGGACGCGGCCTCCTCGCTCCATCGCCCGCCGGTCTCGATGCCAAACGCGACGAGACGACAGCGTCTTGGGCGCAGGAGTTCTGGGTACAGGTCTCACGTCGTTGCCGTCGCTCAGCTCGAGCGAGCGCGACGCCATGTCGAGCGTCAGCACTTGAACCCATCACGTGACTGCGGCGAGACGATTGTGGCATCGATGGCGAGCTGCGTGGCTGCGGTCCGTGCCACCAGTCAAGGCCGTTGCAGACCACCTCGCGCCGGCCGTCGCTGATCGGCACGTCAACGCGTTCATACCAGCGACGCGGACGTTGCGGGCAACCCGGGCGCCACCCTTGCACTGGGAGGGCTCAAAGTTGCACATCGGATCAAACATGCTTGCTCATGTGTAAATGCTCCGCATCAAGACTTGTCGTGCTTTGTCCGGCATGCATGTCTTATGCAAGGCCTTAAAAGACTCCTCCAAACAAGCCCGGCCAGCTGAAAGAGAGCTTAGCAGGGTACGCGGAAGCGCGCTGGGCGGAGACGAAACAAAACGGAAAAACGACTTTGCCGCTTCGATGGCCTCCGTAGCGTGTCGTGGCGTGCCAGCGCCGGCAGGATTGAACATGCCGCGACTTCTTTCAAGTAACAGTGAAAGGCTAGGGCCGCCTGGTGTTGCAGTGTTGCAGCCCATGCGCCATTGTAGCGTGGCGATGTCGACGCCGTCCTGGTAAGCAACAGCAGCTCCACCTCTACGCAATGAGCCAGGCGTCAAGCGGAACGATTGTGGCACCCAAAGCCTTTTCAGCAGACAGTCCCATCTCCCTCTGTAAACAGCAGGAGAGCCGTGGCATAGATTCTGTCCTCTAGTCAGCGCCTCCTTCAAAACGAAGACTGCGATATTAGCCCGGAGCACAACTGTCACATGTTGAACTCGAGCACCGCGATGCTTCGTTCTCGGTTCTCGGATCTGAAGAAAGAACCGTCGACCCGACCGCAGCAAATCTCTCGGAGTCTGAAGGCCGCTCCTGGTGGCCCTCAGCACTTCCCCAATTCTGCAGCACCCGTAAAAGGCAAGCAAAGTTAGGCAAGCCCAGCGTTCCCAGCCTAGAAGAAGACCCAAAGTGCACATGACCTCAAAGATGGGCTCCGGCATCGGAGGTCGATGGTGGGTGCGCTCCAGCCTTTCCCATCGCGTCAAAGTTGTCAGGCAGGCCTTTTTTTTCATTGCAATTGCTGCGCCTAGCGCGGTGCGAGGTTGGAAACCTAGGCTTTCTTGCATCCTGGCCGCTACCTGTCGGGAACGCCTTTGAAGAGAGAGCTAAGCTTGAACTTACATCTGCACCCGCTGCACCTCCAGCTGGCGGCATCTCCGAGTAGCTCGTGGCTGGGGTGTGCTCCCAAAAGGCGGAGGTCGTGACCGCTCTGCAAACACGGTAAGCTAGCAACCCACAAAAGCTTCTGCTTCGCCCACTTGGCAGACACAGCCAACCCGCAGCCATTGCAGGCCCGCTGGCCTGATGTCGAAAGCGGGCCCCAGTGATGAGCCGCATGAGTTTCACTCAAAGGGGTGAGGATCTGGAGTTTGCTGGGAGCCTTAGGTCCAAACTGCTTGAGGCTAGACATAGGACCTTGGTGCAACCAGAAACTCGCCCTCTCGAGAAGGAGCTGTTGCAGCCGCCACGTGCGACGATCAAGCCAACTATTATACTCGCGGTCTAAAGAATGCTGCAGGCTCTCCTCGACTCTGCTGCTGGCCCCGCTTGCGCATCGGCCAACTGGTTTGCCCTGAAAGCCCAGCTAGGCAGGCCCAAATCAATTGGGGCGGTTTGATGTTCCAGAAAAGCTTCACCCGTCGATCTTGGGCCTGCTGCTTAACTCGGACCCACAGGTCAGGGTTGGAGGAGAATTTGAAAGCTTTGCGGTGCAGATGTCGGAGCTTCCACTTGTTGAGGAGGTGTCCCCGCATGCACATGTAGAGCCTGTAAACTGCGCTGGTTAGGGAGACGGGCCGTTCTGCCTTCTTTGTCTTGGCAAGCAGGGCTACAAGGACCTGTCTCTGTGCTTCCGGCCACTCCAGCTCCTGTTCCGCTTTCCGGAGGAAGAAGACGAGTCGTCCGGCAACGAGCGCAAATCAGCAACTGTCCAGGCGTCCGCACCTGGTGCTTTGTTGCCCATGTGCTTCAGCGTCTCCTTGACTTGCGCCGAACTGATGGGCTTGAACTGGGCTTGTTGCTGTTTTGCCGCTGCCGCGAATTTGTCAAGGGCGGCCTGCTGTTGCTGCCTGCCCATCTCTGTCTGCGCTCCCCAGACGGCGCTCCAGAATCTCCTACGACTCTCTGGCCGTTGCTCTAACGGCTGAAGCGCCTTTCTCCTCTCTTGGAACTGGTGCTGGAGCTGCTGTTGCAACGTGACCTGCAATGCTTCTGCCAAAGTGGCGGCATACTGCAGGCCTAGGAGATTGAGCTTTGCATGTTTAGTCACTGCCCATTATTGCGCAACTTAATGGCGTGTGCTAAACATGACAGCACAAAGCAGCAACACGTCACAGCAGGGTGCGTTACCCTGCGGGCAGTTCGCTCCCGGGCACCCGCGAGCATCACAACGACGTTTGCATATCTCTGTGCCGTTTGGGGGCATGGTTGCTGTAGCAGGCTTCACTTTCAAAGCCGCTGAACTGACAGCCTGAAAGGGTTTTTGAAGTTCGTCTCCGGCCCCCAGCTTGCGAGCCGGAGGGCGACGGTTCAACCATTCATCTTTGGCATCTGGCCACAGCTGGGAATCCTCCTTCCAGGCGTGAAGAAGAGCACGGCCCCACGGCATGCCTTCATTTTGGCATCGCTCAACCGCTGTAGCACGGATCTTTTCCTCCGTCTGCAGGATGTAGGAAAGCACCAATTCTTCGGGCAACGATTCGATTGCGCTCCATGCTTTTCCTTCCAAATGGCCGATGTATGTACAGACGTCCTGCCAGTGACAGCTTAACCTGCTTGCCATCGTAAGAGACATCGTAGCACCCGGCAACTGCCCAACCGGTTCCAAGTGTCCGGAACTGGCAAAGTAAGTTCCCAGCTTGGAAGTGTCCTCCAGAACGGAAACATCATCCTCGGCGTGAGCCACATTGATGCGCACCGTGTCGGAAATTCGGTTCGGGTCCGTGCTCAGCGCTCGCCACCCGTGGTGCGCGCCGCAGCCGCCTCGGCCTGGGCGCGGCGCTGGTGGGCCGTGCTCTCGGTCTCCGTGCAGCAACCGGTGACAAGCACAGCGCTTTGGACGGCTTGGCCCGCACCGACCCACGCGAACCCAAGCCAAGGCCCGGAGCTCGACCGGATCCTCGACCTCGCAGAGGCCGTCGGGGCCGAGCCGGCTGCCTCTGTAGCGTGTAGTCCGGGCCGCCGGCAGCTGTAGAGCGAAGTAGTTTCGGACGCCAGAGTCCTGCAGGTGGGAAAAAAATCTCGATGCTTCTTGCTTGGTTGGGAGCGCTGGGCGTCGAAGCACCGCGAACATGGACTCCTGGACAGCTGTTCTGCTTCAAACTCCCGAACAAGCCTTCCGAGGAGTGAGTTGCAAACCATGTCGCGTGCCCTCAGTGTCCACAACACGGTGTACTTCGACCGGCGGGTCTCTGCTAACGGCTCGTCGGCCTGGGCGCGGCGCTGGTGGGCCGTGCTCTCGGTCTCCGTGCAGCAAGCGGTGACAAGCACAGCGCTTTAGACGGCTTGTCCCGCACCGACCCACGCGAGCCCAAGCCAAGGCCCGGAGCTCGACCGGATCCTCGACCTCGCAGAGGCCGCGGGACCGAGCCGGCTGCCTCTGTAGCGTGTAGTCCGGGTCGCCGGCAGCTGTAGAGCGAAGTAGTTTCGGACGCCAGAGTCCTGCAGGTGGAAAAAAAAATCGATGCTTCCTGCTTGGTTGGAAGCGCTGGGCGTCGAAGCACCGCGAACATGGACTCCTGGACGGCTGTCCTGCTTCAAACTCCCGAACAAGCCTTCCGAGGAGTGAGTTGCAAACCATGTCGCGTGCCCTCAGTGTCCACAACACGGTGTACTTCGACCGGCGGGTCTCTGCGTCTAACGGCTCGTCCAAAGCGTGCTCTGCGATGCCCTGCCCATGCTTCTGTCCACGCCAGCTGGCCAAAACTGTCTTTCTGATTAGTGTGACTCAACACTGTGGCTTTGAGCTGAGTTGCGTCGTCGACGATGTTGGCGAAAATTTTCATCTCATGGCAGTCCTGCGGCGATGCAGCCAGCCAGGCACAGACATCATCATGGACGCCGCTGCGTCGTAGAAGCAACTTCAAGTCTTCCTTCATGGCCGCCATTGCCGCAGCCACGGCAAGAGCACTACGAGAAGGCTCGTTTACTCCAAACGCAAAGCACGATGAACGCGTAGCTGCTGCCACACAAAGAAAATCGCAATGCATTCCGGACGTTTACAAACAAGTGCCACCCGCAATGGGTTTGACACGTGTAAACGGAGACCGCCGCAGTGGCAAGGCCAATCCGAGAAAATTTTCGGGTGGAAACAGGCGACAGACACCGCAGTCAAACAAGCAATAATTTGCAATCTCAACTCTCAACCCTTGCCAATAACCTGCCATTCAGATTGCGAGCATTGTTGCTCAACTTGATGGCGTGTGTTGAACATGACAGCACGAAGCGGAATCAGCACGCGCCTCCCTTGTTTTGAGCAGATGGCGCAGAACACTTCGCAGCAGTGACACAGCCTCAAAGAATACAGTATGCAACTGTACCACTGCAGCTCCCAAAGAACTAGCACCACACATCTGTTTAAACACTAATTAGGAGCCGTTTGTGCGAAGATTCTGCCACCTGCGGCAGCATTCCGCAGGAAGTTTCTGAAAACACCTTGGCGACCAATCCTTGCCACTCAGGGTCGCACAAGCCACGATTGAACGCAGTGTGCCATCGCTTAGCCTGCAACTGCAACGGCCTGCACAAGTGCAAGTGTCCCCGGCAACCTTTGCTGAGGAATCACTGCACACTGAAACTATCCACGTGCTCACTCGAATTCATTGAGACTGAGGAGGACGAATCAGAATTGGAATCGTTGGACGACGAAAAGTCCCAGCTTTGCTCCGCGCCTTGAACATCGTCAGGCTGCTTTGCGGGATAAAACCCCAAGGCAGACGACCTCTTTTGCAAGGCTGCTTTTGCCAGTTGACGAGACGTGTCACGAGCAGGAAACAACTTGCTAAGTCTGTCCCAGCACACATTGGATTGTGCATTGCATTGGAAAACTCGACGCATGATGCACAGCAACTCTGTGTTCACACTGTTCTTTCTGATCTGCATCCCGCATCGGCATGCTGAGATCTACCTGATTGCGCTTCCTGCCGTTCCAATCCAGCTTGAAGTCGAAACTCAGGTTCCCTTCGCGCTCTCGGTGAAGCTCCGTGCGGATTTGGCAGTGCAAAAAGTACCCACCCTGCACCGAGCGGATAGAATTCCTGCTTTGCCCAGGTTGCCCTGGGCGCATTTCGAAATAACGAAAAAATAAAAATCGCACTTGGGGAGGTTGAAATCGCTTGCGCAAAAACGCATTCGCCAAGCACCTTCGCCGCTTGGAGTTGCCAGGCGGAAACATACCGCATGTCAGTCAGCACCGAACAGTACTTGGCAGGACGAGGGAGAATCATTGGCATATCGCCGCAACCCAGACAGCATCCCACAATGCGTGCAGCTCAGAAAGAGCTGATTCGCTGGTATGTTCTCCCCTGCAGGCATCCAGAAACAGACGAGTCCCAAGCATTTGTATCGATGACGGACTCGATCCCACGGTCCAGGATGCAAGTCCTAGCTTCGTCACCGAGAGAGCTCACGAGGCATTGCAAGCGCGGGGGCAGCTTAACAACATGGGGAGAACATTGACCCGGCATTTTGGCTGCGGAGTCTTCGACATACACCGCAGTCAAACAAGCAATAATTTGCAATCGCAACCCCTGCAGATAACCTGCCTTTCAGATTGCGAGCAGAACTTGGCAGCCTCAGCCGCCCTGTCAGCGATCATCCTGAAAAATCCGGTCTTCAAGCCTTTTTCCGTCAAGGTGTGCCGGCATGTGCAGGTTAGCATGGCCCCTGCGCAAGGAAGACACGGCATGTGCAGGTGAGCATGGGCCCCTGCGCAAGGAAGACACGCCACGGGATCGTGGCTCAAGTTCTGTGCTAAAGAGTGGTGATTGTGATGTGGGATGGGTTTGGGGCTTGATGAGCCTCGGGGTTGGGCCCAGGCCTGTAATATCCTCTAGATGGAAAACACGTATAGCCACCTCGACGATTTGCCTCACAGTGTACGAATGCGTCTTCAACAGAATCCTGTAGTTAACACTCCTGGTCATTACAGCATCGTCACGGCTACGCCATCCCCTTCAAATCCTCATAACCTTCAAGAGGTTATGAGCCCAAGGGCTCCAAACCCTGGGCTAAACTCCGCAACATTGCAGCAACAGCAGCTTCAGACACCAGCAGCAGCAGTAGCTTCTTCAGGAGGTCAAGCGGATACATCAGTGGTGCTTCGACAGCTTTTGCAAGTCATTATTCCTGCCGATCTGATTTCACGACTTGAAACCTTGAAAGAGGCTGGGGTTCAGCTGGGACAGATGGCGAGCCTTGATCACGTTCGTCAACATATGAGAGAGATTGCCGATGAGCTTTTTCGCAGGTCTGAGCTGCTAGGGCAATTTGTCCTAAGGACGGCTTCGGGAAGCCAAGAGAACAGAGAGCAACAATTGCAAGCAACAGTGGATGCATTGCAACAACATGGTGCGCATCAAGAGCATAGAGTGGGTTCATTGGCATCAGAACACGAGAGGACGATGAGCCTTCTTGCAGAGTTTGAAGCCAACATGAAATCCAAGTGGAGTGAGACTGCTCAGAGGGTGAGTGCCTTGGAGAGTAATCTTGAAGCAGCGGCGGCCGCTCAGGCCAACATGCGAGAGGATTATGATGGTCTCCTTGACAAGTCTGCCGAAGAGCAGAAGCAGTATCTGGTTGTTATGCTGGAACGGCATGCAGAAACCATGAATGCTACGATAAGACAGCAAAGCACTCATCAGGAGCAGATCGCGCAGCTGAAGCTAAGCTTGGATAAAGCGCAAGCAGAGGCTGGCTTGATGAGAGATAAGTATGAGCAGGACCTTCAGCAGACAGCGTGGGTCGTTGCAAAGGTCTCCGAGCTTGAGGGCCTTGTGAGTCGATTGAGAGAGCGGGATCTTGCGATCAGAAGGGAGCTTGGCATGAACGTTGAGGGTTTCGGGTTGCGCCAGCATGTTGAGAGCACGAGTGCTCCGCCACAGTCGGGGCCTTCATACTTTGCCATGACCCCTGACATTCCAGCTGCATGTGAGGGTGCAGATGATGATTATGTGGATCCATGGTGGTCGGGGCCGGATTGGTCCAATCGGTGCCGTGGAGTTGATGAACCACCACGGTTGAGTTTCGGTCCATGTTCTCAACCTCCCCCCTTGCCCCATGACATGACGAAGAAGACTGAGGGAGGAGAGAGAGCGACATTTCGGATCAATCAAGCAATGTACAAGCTGCTCAAAGATGCACCGAAACTGGATCTTTCTTCCGGTGGAGAGCCGTGGGAAGTTGGTATGACTGTGCATCAGTGGAGGGTTGAGTCACGGACAGTTCTGGCAGCCATCCACACGAGCTTTGCTGACTACTTCGATCGTGTCGACGAGGAGGCGCGGCAGAGGTATGAGCGTAAGAGGCTTACTTGTTGTGAGGACGTATTGCGCGAGGTAACAGTAGCAGAAGCTGAGATGGAAACAAGATTGTCATTGGCTATGCTGAAGAATCTTCCGCAAGCGGTGCGACAGCCGGTGGTGGAGAGCTCGATGTCGAAAGCGCCATGAGTGCTCAAACGTCTG